TATATATATATATATATATATATATATATATATATATATACATATAGTATTCATATTTCATTTTCTTCTCTATACGCATCAATAATTTATAAATATTTTGTAACAAATTTGAAAACACTTGGTCACAAAAGTTACAATATTTAAGTTTCAATATTTAAACGAAAAGTTTTCAATTTGAAATGCCATTTAATATTCCCATTTATTGGATAGGAAGGATTTTATCCTACGAATGTTTCAATATATCAATGTGAAAATAGATGGAATGCCATTTGAAAGAAGAATTGAGTCAATATTCTGCTGATGCGGAGATTTTGATGAGAAATGTAAAATAAATGGAAAAAGTAAAAATGAATAATTGGGTTTCATTAATTTAAATTTGATTAATTCTAGTATATATCAAACTTTAAATTGATGAAACATATCAAATACACGTAACATGTATTAGTGTGTATATGTTCCATGATATACATATCTTTTATAAATATCTTTTGGCAATTATTTAAAATGGAACAGTTCTAGAACTCACGTGACAAAATCAGACGTGAGATGTAAGTGCATCATTGAACTTCGATAGCTTGATAAAATATGCAACACTTGACTATTCGCATTCTAGATGGATTATAATATCCTTGCTAAGCATTTTTTATCTTGTCGAATCTAAATATCCACAGAATGATGAATATTAATCATCAAGCAATACTTATTGCGGAATATTAATGCTGGAAATCTGATTATTATTTTTGTCATGAAATGCGAAATGGATGAATAATCTCGTTGTGTACAGGATAATTAATATATTCATGGAATATCTTTGGAGGATCGATTATACAGATTAAAATAAATACAAAAGTTGATTTGTAAAAATATCTTATTTATTAAATTAAAAGCAATTGATTGTGATTTTATATCTCACTTCATTCAATATGAATTTATAATTTAATAAATAATTTTCAACCGACATTTTTATATATCAACTTTTGTTTTAATCTTAATAATCGATCCTTTAAATGTATTAACAATGTGTGATAATAAAATGTCAAAAAAATATAAGAAAAATCGTTTCATTAATTATTTTTATAGATTCGTCTTTTTTCTTTTCTATCAATAAAACCATTAAAGTGATTAAAGTGTTATAATTAAGGTGTTTTAAATAACGAATTTTAACAACAATTTTTTCTTAATATTTCCAAGGATAAGATAAACTTGGAACACTCGGTATAATATATAAAAATGATTATTCGTTCTTTTTATCTGTTCTTTTTTTTTTTTTTTTTTTTTTTTTTAAAAGTGGATTTTCCGAAAGATCTTAATGACTAATCGACATGAGATTTGAAGAAGTGACTCCCAATACATAAATTTTAGCTTTAACCAATTATTCTTTTCAACACCGTTGAACTATACTGTTATATACATATTGAATTCTTCGTATACAAACGTGTTAATTGTCTTCGCTGTATAATAGTTATCGTTCTCGACTGTCGAGTAACCGATAACACTATAACGATATCCAGTTTCCATGTTATAGGGTGTCCCATAAAATTTCGGCGATAGGCATTACAAACTGTGGCAGCACGATAATTCTTATCGTCTTTCGTAATAACTCGAGATATACATATATTTGATTACGAACTTTCTACATCTTTATTCCTATTTCAATAGTTTCTATTCTTCTTCCAATGCTGTCTTACGTTTTAATTTCGTTTTAATTAACCGAAAAATCATTCTAATCATTCTAAATCATATCAATGAAACACATATTTGGCTTATCAATATAATTATATTATTTTTGACAACATCAGAATAGTCTTCGATGTTTTGTATGAGACACCCTGTACTCGATATCCTCTGTAGAATTACGGGACACTGGACAGTCAATGGTGATAACTATTGCATATCGAAGACATTGTATACTCTGTATCTGGATAGGTGGCGTTGTATCCATCAGTCATTGATCCGTGTATGCAATAATTCAACGATACTGAAAATTATTTTCGTTAATAATTTAAGGAAGCAATAATTGGCTGATAAAATAAAATTTAACGTCTTTTTCTCCTCTCTTTCAAATTTCCTGTTGATCGGTTTCTTCGGCAACTTTATCCTAAGACCAATGACACAGATATTGAATCACGTGATACCTTCCCTCTAGTATCAATGTCTGAATCACCGCTAGAACCAGATTCATTTAATTTCTCGCATCATAGTCGAGGAAGTTGTTTTATTGGAAATCGTGCAATAATTATGGCACCAAAGAAAAAATGATTAAATGAATTGCGACCAAGAATGTAAAAATGAAAAGGGTGGTGATATTGCGTTGAAACAGTTGACAAAGTAATGTAAATATAAATAACAAGGGTGCGTGCATGAAATGTGATGAATTCAAGGAAAAGGAGGATGACAAAGATTGGACATTAATTTCAAAATATTTTTATCTTCGAATGAAAGTTTCGATTTGAAACTATTTTGGAATTTCTTTATAATTTCTTTGAATTGTTATTTAATTCTCTTCTCGAATATTTTTGTCGAGAAAAACAGAGAGAGAGAGAGAGAAAAGAGTGAGAATGGAAAAATTTAAATTTAGTCTTGGCTCGTTCTCGACAGATGGATCAAATATCTTCAATTACGAGTTGATTAAAATTTTCTTTTTTTACTCAAACTATTAAAAAAAGTCGGGAATTCAATTATCACCCGTTATTTTCACCCTTAATGATATTCATCGATAACTGTATCGATAGTCACACGTATTTCGCGTACAATTGAAAAAGTTTAATTTTCGGTAAATGGAAGATAATTAGAGAAATTCAATAATAATAATAGTCTGGATAACGAAAATTCAATCGGTTGAAGGTGATCAGAATTTCAAAATGAATTTGCCGAGTCGAGGAATGAACAGCTGCGCCGGTTAATGAGAATATCATTCGCGCGCTTCGAAAATCAATTGCAATATCGCCATTATCGAACTTAGGCGTTGTTGATTTTCCCGTATAATGTTGCCAAGAGTGTGTGTAACGCGCAGTTGTTCGTTCTAATTACGTAAATAGATATATTTGATGAATTCGCTTTCAATCAAAGTATTCCATTTCACGGCTCGTTTATTGGAAATTTCTCATCCGAAGATCAGCTATTGTGTTTTTGTTTCAATCGTGCGTTCAACGAAAGAAAGAGAAGAAAGAAAAATTTCATCGATCATCGTTTCTTATTATTTTTACGTGAAGAATTTTTATATTTATGTGAAGAATTGTGAAGAAACGAAACTTTGTAGATTAGCAACTGGGAGGGGAAATTTACTTCAAATAATAATTTAAAAATATTTGCTAAAAAGATACTTCTTTCTCTGATGATTTTTTAATGTATTATCGAAGTCATTGAGTAGTGTTTGTTAACCTAATCCAAGCTAAATCAAATCCAATGTAAATAAATTTTTGTTCGAAGTTTAATTTCACTTTGAATCGAAATCGAATAAAAACGTTTTTGTTAACAATTTTTTGAAACGATTGCCAAGTAAAATCTTCGCAATAAAACCGTTCACACTGGTGACTCCATATTAAAAAATCATCATCAAGCATTGATATTTTCGTAAATAATTACTCTGACATTTTAATGTGTTTGTTTTGGAATCGATCCTCCAAAGATTTTCCACGAATATATTAACATTTCAGAAAGGAAAAAAAGAGCTCGAGGAAACTCTTTCTGGTCTGAACTTTGCCATCGTGTAATTTTTTTTTTCGCCCCATTTGCAAGCAGTGAACTATATCGCATACACTGTGCAATTTATTTTATGTTTATCGTGTTTTACGGATGATGTAAAAAAGTAAGAAAATATGTCAGAGAAATAGATCCTTAATTGCGTAAAAATCTTGTAATTTTTATTATTTTTCTATATAAAAAAGAATTCTATATATTTCTCGTGTTTTATTAATAATTTCGACACACAATGAATCTTACCCTGGACGAATAATATCAGAAGTAATATCTATTTTTTAAATATAAATTTTTCGCTCGATCCAATTTATCTTATCGCAAAAAAAAAGTATTTATTTTTCTCTTCAAATTAATAACATTCCAAATATTTAAAATTCCGATTTTCATTTCGAAAGTCGCGCTTTCAAAGATCAATGCGTGCAAATTAATTCTAGAATTGCAGAATTATTAATCTTTCTGACTGTTTTCTCATGTTAATAATACATGAGAAAACAATAAGCCTTGGCCAAAGTTCGAAAATCAATGGACGTCGATATCTGCTTCTCCTATTCGTAAATTTTTTTTTTTTTACTTCTGATACTTTTAATTCCTCGAGTATCGATCAGCCTCGTTTAAAAATTCTTGGCCTCGAAGTCGTTGATTTTTTTTTCTTTTTTTTTTTCTATCTATCGTACAACGATCATAAATTATCCGCCTCATAGAGGTAAATAGGCGGATTTTCTATCTTACGGTATAACGATTTATATTACGGGAATACATCGAGGTACACGGAAAAAGGAACGAACGTATGTCTCGTTTCGCTTCGATGGATTTCATATTTTTATACTATGTTATATGCGAACAACTTCGGCCTAATTGAACATTTGCCTCGCGAGGAACAAATTGTGAAGCATAAGATCAAAGGTGAAGAATATTGGTATGGAGATGGAATATGTATAAGTGCTGTAAGAAGTAATGAGATTGCCAATTTTTTTGCACTTTTTTCCCCTTTCAAAGTAACGTTCGAAGGATTTATAAATGAAAGAAGAGTTTGAGAATCGTACCCTGTTTGATTCGAATGCATTGAATACGAAGTATTCTGTATTTTTATCAGTTTTATTTAAACTTTAACAACTAATTTCATCATTCATCATTTTAACGTTTTATAATATAAATCTAACGCAGGACATAGAACACTTTTTGAGGATCGATTCTAGAGATCAAAATATAAAATGTAAAAATGTTAGTTCATGGATTCATTTATTTAATTATAAGCAATTTCTTTATCTCCTTTTTCAGAATATATATAATTTACTTTCCAATGTTATTATTCCTTTTTTTTTCCATTAATGAAATTTCTATTAATAAAATCAATTGCGAATCTTTATTATTGTAAAAGCACGAATGAAAAAGAAACGTTTAAATCACATACATCTCCTATAATATACTAAATATTATTATCAAACAGCGAAAAATCCATATTCAATAAATTGTTTAAATACAAATAAATCTTCGTCGTTAAGAAATTGTATCAATTCGAACTCAGTATCTTTATATTTACTCTTGCTAAAAAATTGTTACATTGACAATTTTTATTCTAATTCAAAATCTTCTTTGCACATCTTCTCTAATATTGTAAAATAAGCATATCTGGATTATTCTTCTGGACAAAGCATATTACAACGATGCTTATTATTATTGAAACGAGGAATAATAAATGATGGACGTTAATAACGAAATGAGGAAATAAAAGGAAATACGATTGAAATGTAATAGGTCTGTTGCATAATAGCTAGTTCGATTTTCATGCTAGCGTATCACCTCGAGTGTACATATTATAATAAGCCATGTACACAGTCTGTATGCACAAATTGCGTAACAAATGCAACAACAGATGTTTTTCTTCTTCTCTATTGTCTCTATCGCGAATTCTTATGAAGCAAAGATCGTATCAGCCATGGAAAAAAAATTACAATTATATTGTTAAAAAAGCGAGACGCGTTTCACCACGAGTTATGCATGCAAAAATATCTTCTTACGAAGCGTTTGTTTCGCCTGTTAATCCGCGATCAAATTTTTGAACGATCGATCTCTTTTTATGTTGGGGATGATAGTTCGATTGGGAATTCGATTGCAAGAAAGTAACGAATAATGAATATTTTTTTGTCCTTCTTTTATATACGAGTGTTACACAAGACCTTTAGCAATGACTGTTAACATTACATTTTATAAATCTGCAAGTGCAAATGAAATTATATGTAATTGCATGTAATCTTGAAAAATTTATTGATCATACTTTTATATATTATTTGAAGAGTATTTTATTGAGCATTTTCCAATTGAATTGATAATCAGAAAGATTTTACACAGTATTTTACACACAAGTTTATTTGACATTCATTTTATGATACGGTAATCCTTCGATAACTTTTAAAAGATTACTTATTTGATTGATATATTTATTCTCTAAAAATGAACGATTCTTCTTCTTCTTATTGTTCAAACTTTCACAAAATTAATCAAATATACCGTTTCAATAATTTACTGGTAACTTAATTGACTCGTTGAACTATGCAAATCACGTTCAGAGGATGAAAGTGCATGAAAGTTTAAGAATACACCAAGGTATATCTTAAGGTTAATTTATTTATGACGTCTTAAAGAAATTTACCCATTTTTCACGATTTCCACGAAGGAAATATTTTGCCCGGAATATTTTCGCGAGATGTAATATCTTCTTTCAAGCAAGTTGGAATCGTATAACGCAGTTCTGAAAGTAGTTTTACCAATGTCGTCTCGAAGCATAGAAAGCTTTCACATAGCGCCATTTCTATAGTGTGAAGTCGAAATGGGATGGATGAACTTTTACTTCTAACTTTTCTCAAAGGGAGAACTTTCCCAGATTTATCTGATTTATATCGTTTAAAGAAAAGTATGTATCTGTCTGAGTGTTAGGAATAAGTTTGTTTTGCAATCAGCAAATTTTACTTGCCATTTCTCTCTCTCTCTCTCTTTCGAGCTTTTTTAAGGGTTTATAAGGAAAAATTAATGATATTTATAGAAGCAAAAAGAGCAGTGAGATTAAGAGAGGACCATCATATGTATATTTTTCCTTTTTACGTTTTCTCCTTCGAAAAAAATTGATTTTAAAAAGCCTTCTTCGAGCTTATGGTTGTCATTTTTTTCCATGCAAATGTAATATTCATTTTCATCACTTTATAACTTGTATCAATCCTTAAGAATAAACATCATCGCAATTAATTTTAAACTCAGAGTTACTTTATCAACTCTGTTAAATCTTTGTCACGGGTAAACAAGAGACGGAGAAAATCGAATACATAAATATTCACAAGGCGAGGTTAATTACAAGGAACAAGAAATCTAATCCGTGAAGGTAATCTTAAATGTATGCTTAAAAAACTATACTTCATCCCAGGCCGCGTTATTCGAGCTTGTATTCGAACGCGTGGAATGTAGCCAAGTGACTGAATAAAGTCAGCTTTAGTTATTAAGCTTAATGTAACCAGATCTCGATCTTTTGCAAAATTCTCAAAATATCGTAGTTTTTTTTTTTTTTTAAATCGAAAAAAAGAATCTTTCTTTCTTCGTTCACGAGGGCTGGATGGAAAATCATATTTGACCGAAACGGGGGAAAAAAATTACCCACCTGTGTTGCGGAGGCGGCGTAGGCGTTCTCGACAGAGGGAAACTGGCCACTTCTCTCGTAACTGACAGCGATCGAATCGATCCGAATGTTTGGTCCGGGGATAAATTAGCACCGACACTTTGCACCATCCCGCTACTGAAACAGATCGATTCGTTGACGTCAATTAAATCTTTCTTTTTTAGAAATTAATTTTCTAGGCGCTCTTTCTTTTTTTTTTTTTTAATGATTTTCAAGCAGTTTCTCTATTTAAATGAACAAGTATTTATTTGAAAAAGTAGCGAAAAAGGTGGTAGAAAGATAACATTTTAAAAAAGTATCGAGTTGGAGAGTATTATTTTTTTTTTTTCAAATTATTGTAAAGTAAAAAAAAAAAAAAAAATTGTCCAATGGATAATATTTTATGTCGATTGACACAATCATTGGTTGGAAAAATATTAAAGTGCCTTTGAAAAAGTTAAAGCCGATGCGGTTAATCTGTTTACGTGAAAGATGGATGGATTAGAAAGATTTATGTAAATGAACTTTTCGCTGTGCATTATATAAACAAAGATGAGAATGATATAAGATATCTGTATTACGTTTTGAAAGGTTAATTATATAATATTGTGGTGAAATTAAATATGAAACTTTGGTATTTTTTACAAAAATAATCGATATTGTTATATATCATATTTTGAAAAAAATAATTTCAACGCTGTTCGTGTTCGAATAATTTTTTTCCCAAGTTTATTAATTAAAGAAACATTTTTGCAAAAGAAAAGGTTGGAATTGTTTTTTTGTACGCGCATTTCCTTCGACACGTGTCAATTTTCCATTCAATTATTACGTTTAATTATCAAAATTTATTTTTCTCGCCACGTCCAACAGTTGCGTGACGACAATTTATTAGCAATTACATCCGTTTGCAACAATGTATTATTAATGTATCGCAATTTTCAACGTCAATAACGTTTATATGCCTGTGCATGCATCGGTAATGGGAGATGCAAATTTAACAATGAAGGAAAAAGTGATATTATTCCCCCCTCGTGACTTCCTATCTCTATAACAAAGACATTTAACAGCTTCTATTAATTACTTAAAAAATATATATATATATTTACATTAAACGTGACACAATTATCGCTATTATCAAATAATTTAATTTGTAAGAGAAAAATTTAAATTATAAATATCAGATTTTCAGAAGAAACATAAGATTGAAAATATAAAATTCCATAATTTATATTTTAGTAAGAATAATAGTTGTATTATTATATTAAAAAATAGGATTCCATATAAACGGAGAATTAATATAATTTTCGACATCAACAAACTTTCAACAAACTTTTTCCCCGCTCGTTTTAACTCCATAATAAAAGATATACGCAAAAAAAAAAAAATTAATACAAAAAAATCTCATTCAAAAATCTTCGCCCCTCGTCGAAAAGAAATTTCGACCATTGATAACTCGATCTCAAAATCTTCGAGAAAAAGGAAACTTCATCAGTCGCTTAAATCCCCCTGTGCAATCCACTCGTACATCCACTCTCTCCACCGTTGCGTCCACCGTTGAAAAGGAGAAAAACGAGCTCTCCCCGGAACCGTCTGGAAAAACAATGCAACGGCGGCGGACGGATCGATACGGGCGACAGGTACGAGATCCCCATAGCGATTACTCGAGGCTGACTGCTTCGCCGACTCGAGGAGGAATATGGTTATCGATATATTACAGGGCGAAACCCGACCATTTCGAGATGCTGAACGATGAATTATTCAGGACGAGGTGGCAGCCGTAGGAAGTTGTGTAGTCGACAAACCTCTCCTCTCCCCGCGGTTAAAACGTATTTTCTCTATGGCGAAGTTTCCGCATCGTGAACCGTTATATACCCGATAATGATGTATCGATTAGCCGAGTTCGTTAACGAAACTTTTAATTGCGAAAAGATTGCCTCCTTTGTGGCGGCTCGGTTCAAGTGGAGCAAGGGGAGGGAAATATAAAAATATGAGAATGAAAATTGTAATAGAATAGAGGATTGTATATCCTTTTATTGATCTTTTTGGGGGGAGGATATTCAATTCATCATTGACATCTTTCTTTGGTCTATGAAATTTTAAGATTTCGATAAAGAAAAAAAAAAATGGAAGGATGGTATTTTGAGAGGAAACGGGGATATATTAATTCGAAAGGAATATATAAATAGCGTTAATAAAAGACAAATATGACTTACGTATATGTGTGTAGGAATATTGTTCTTGGCTCTGAGTAAATATGTATAATAGGCTGTGTGTGTACACAAGCACGCAATATCAATGATGATTCATTTATCGAAACCGAAATCTTACAAACAAAATATAAACTTTATACAAAACAAATATTGCTGCAGAGTATGTAATTATCCGTTCTACCGATGATCTGTAGAATTTATGCCGTAGAACGATAAAATTTACAACTTTGGCTCTCCGTTATACAACGGAAATAATTTCGCAATCGTAAGGGAATATTGCGTGCTTCTACAAAAAAAAATTTATAAAAACAAACAATAAGAAAGATTAGAAGAAACTTTTAATTTTTTAATTAATCCTTTCTTTCGTTTTATTATTAAAAAAAAAAAACATATGCAACAAGTGTATTTGTTAAGTGAATTTGAATTTATCTTCTTCTCATTATCTATTTATTAAACAGTCTTAACGAATTATTAATTATTTTCAATAATTTTAAAGATAAAAATGAAATGCACTATTTTTAAATACAAAATTTTTCTTTTTTTAATAATAATTTCTTTGATCCTTTCCCCAGGGTGTTATAAATAACCGATAAAACAACGCAATATTATTTTTATCCTAGCTATTTACATGCAATATATTGCTATACGAGTTGCTTCGAGTTGAATCAATAACCTTGAGAGAGGTCAATCAATTATAAAAGCAAGAAATAAAAAAAAAAAGGTATTAAATACGCGTTTCTCATGCTATGCTTACTTGATATATTATAATGGTACACGAAAAAATTTATAACACTTTTAAGAAAAATGGCGGTATAGTATGAATAATAAATAACCCATAACGCATATCGATCAATATGATAAATGATATAATGTATTTTCTTTATCGAGTTCTAAATATTTCATTCCATAATCGTTCAACAGTTGTTTAAACGACAGTGAAGAAAACAGTAGTGAAAGGATCGAAACATAGATGAGAAAAAGTTATTGATTAGATGTTGAAGTTTTTTTTATTTTTATTTTCTTTATAACAAAATTTATTTAGATTTAAATCACATTCTCTAATAATTATAATGTATAAATGTATTGAACTTAAATAATAAATTGAAACTTTAAATAGATAACTTTTTTATATAAATTATTTTCAGAATGTATTTGTGATAAACACAAAATTCTATGTCATATCACTGGTAACTTGATTGAAACTAAAAATTTACGAAAATTAGTAAAATAAAATTATAGTTTCGTGATTATTATACAAATTTTATCTTCATTTTAGATAAATGCTTTGAAAAAGAATGTAAAAGAAGAAAGCAAGAACAAAATTAAAGTTATTTATATTACCATAAAATTTTTCCCAATAACACGATAACAACGATGAATATATATCTGTTTATATTTAAATTATAAGAGAATGGATATTGCAAGTGATAGCGTGCACATCATACGTTATACACTCCTACCTAAAGTCCGGACATTAACCTCATTGAACACTCGTGGGCGGAAATCGATAAAAGATAAAAAAAAAATTATAAGCATAACTTCGAGAAACGTTATAATATACGTTATGAAATAAAAATTTTTTTACAGAATTTTATATATATCCAAAGAGAATTAATAATAAAATTATATTAATTATTAATAATACAAAATAAAGGGATTCTTAATTTCGATGAATTTTTGACTATATTATAGAAATTAACATTTCAAACAATTTTTTCGATTTTAACTTTTGAATTATTTATTTGTTTTAAGATTTAATGTTAATATAATCCTTGAAGCATATCTTCATGATGAATATTTCATAGTTTTTATATAATAATTACAATATTATCTTCGACGTTTTTGACACACGTATATTTCTATTCTTTAACATTTCATGTAATATTCTGTTGTGCACAAGTTAGCAAGGAATTTTAAATAAAAGCATCAAAAGTCACGCATTAACCTCGCACTATATTATAATCAATTTTATTAATTATAATTTCAAATAAAATTATTTGAATTTCAAATAAAAGCATCAAAAGTCACGCATTGAATTTTTACTTTTATTAAATCGAAGCGTGTTGAATTTTAAGAAAAATTCATATACCGAACAAAGACGACGATAAAAAAAAGACAGGTATAAATCAAAATCAAACTCTTGCTTCATTAAAATAAATTATTCATTAAAATAAGATACGAGATATTTAGTTACAAGATATTTTTGAAATAATAAAATTTGATAATCCCTTTAAATTTTTATTATTATACATAATGCTGATGGCATTTAGAACATAGAAGAGTGAAATTTTATCATTTCAAATTTATACAAGTATTTTGTATCTTGAATTTTTATAAACAAATTTCAATAACCATAATTTTATCATTTATCATAGAATAATAAATGGAAACACGACACTATATAGTCTGTGTATGCTCGTTCAAATTAAATCTACGACAGATAGGGGTATAACATGTCGATATACTTTTCACATTGAGTGCAAGAATTGAATATAACCCACATAGAAGAATAAATGTAACAGGGAAGCGTATTTTTATAGCAAGAATGACCTTTACACACTGATTATATTTCGATTCGCATTTCTATTAAAATATAAATGACACGCTTGCCAGTATTTTCGTTCGAAACAAAACATTAAAATTTAATCGATTTCTGTCTATTTGAAATCTCATTACGAAACTTCGTGCTTTATGGTTGTATTCGTTACATAAGAGAATGTACCGTTTATAATTGCATTATCGTGGCGTGTATCGTTAACTCTTTCAATATCAAAATATATCTTGTTAGGATGAAAATTTTTTAATTCGAAAATTTGTGATAAACAATGTGCTTTTCTTTTTCTAAATTGATTTGTTTAATTTTCATTTCGAAATGAAAAACTTCGAAATATTAGCAAATAGATATATATTGTTTTTTACAATTTCGAAGCTTTTTCCGATAAAAGAAGATCGTAATATTTTATTCTGTGTTTCATAAAGAATAAAAGCGAACAAAATTTGAATCGATCGTTGAAAATTTTTTACAACAAAAGTGCATTGATATTGCACGAAACAAATGTCGCGCAATTGCAACAGACATATAAAGATAACTAGATAGATGTTTATTTATTACATTATACATTCAATGTATATTATATGCGCCTTTTATCATTATAATCATATATAGAGAGACAGTGCTGTTTCACTCTATTTTCCATCTTGCTCCATCTAACTTGAATTCTTTTAAATTACATTTAAAATAAGCGTCAAATTTTTGCGTGTCAATTTTTATATTTATTTTGAGCTTTTAGAATCGATCCTATGAATATCTTGTATGAATATTTTTGACCTTAATATCACTTATTAAAAGTTCAATAAAAGCGAAATAAACAAGAACAAGAAAATTTATAATCTCTTTTTCTATAATTTTAATTGGACGATCAATCGTGTGTACAGAGAAATAAATAAATTTGCAAGGGAAATTTTTCCTCGTTGAATTCGAAATATTCTTTCTCTCTCAAACTTATCTTAAATTAAAAACAAGAAACAAGACGCGATTATATATTTTAAATAATTGACATAATTCGATGGGGAAAAAAAATTATTCACGGATCAAAGCTGTTTAAAACGGATCTAAAAATATAATCGAGATATACGGCCGAGCGATATTTATCAAGGAGAGGAGAAAACAGTGGCTAAAGTACATGTTTGCGTAGTCTGGCGGCAGTCTGCACTGGAGATAGGAAAATGAAAACGATTACTGCGCACGATTATAACTCTCGATCACAAGAAGTTAAGGTTAAGAGAGTAAGGCTTTTATTGGGACTTAAGAAAAAAGAAGTGTGTGATTTATTTCGATCCACTTAAATTCCCATTATTCTTAATCTTTAGATGATTTAAAAACGAATAATGCGAATGCAGAATGTCATAGAAGATGGATTATTCTTCGTCCCCTCTCTGTTTTTTTCTCTCTTTCTTTATAAGTAGAACATGGAATAAAAAGGAATATCACGTTTTATCATTAATTAACGCGTCTTAATGCGATTTCTTCGAGTCTGATAACACGAAAAGATGTCATTGATAAACTTATTATCAAAATTATCAAAATTGGCCAGAAAACGTGAGGAGTAACGAATCGATTCGTTTTAATTTCAATTTCAATGGCAGAGAATCTTTTTCTTTTGCGTGTGTGAAAATGAAAGATCATCTAAATCTTAAAAATCATTTGGGAAAGAAATGGTATCGTTCTGTGTAAAATTGTTTTTAATTAAAACATTATCATCGTAAGTTTGAGACGCATTTGACTGATAATAATATCTAAATCTACGTTTTATCGAGCAACGATTTCATTGCTTAATAAAATGCGACGATAACACAAACACAACGTTTCTTGAACATTAATAATAATAATAATAATAATAATAATAAATATTATTATTATACATAAATGGCTCAATGGCCTTAGAACATGGAGTCGAGATAATTGCGAGTGCAAAGTTGCATCAAGATCTATTTATAATTTTGAGTGAAAACAACTAATTGTGCAACCAAATTGAATCGGCAAATTTGGAAATTTAAGAAAGATGGTGATTCAAAATTTTAAGAAAAAAAAAAAAATAATTATTGAAATAATTGCTCAATGATAGCGACACTACTTCACTTTGTGATGATCAACAATGAATACAGGATATAACGTATCCTTGTTGTAATCAGGAAGACAAGCGTGGTGTGATTAGAGGCAGATTTCAAACACAGATTGAAAGATATAAAGAATCTGACGAGGCTATTCATCAGATAACGAACCAGTGATGAGATAACAAAAAATCCAACGTGTTATCGAATTATACACACACTTTTCCAGATTTATTCTCGACACGGCTATGAAGAACTCGTGAGCTAATTTTACTTTAAATGTTCATAATAAAATAGCAGTTAAAAGAGAAGTTAATTAGTCGTAACGTTATCCAAATATAGATTTACTTAGATATATTATGAACTCTATGCGCGTAGGAGTTAGTTAATTGAAAATTTGGAATTTGATGGAATATATTCCTTTTATGCGAATTTCTCCATTTCCTCTTTGGAGAAGGAAAATTAATTGATCAAATTGAAGTGGGTAGGATTTATTGTGGGATACATTCTTTTTTAATTTCGTTCCATTACATCTTCGTAGGAGCAAAATTCAATATCAAAAATCAATATGTAGCTCGATGATGGAACTCTGTGTATGGCCTTTTCTTTTTTATCGAGTGGGTGGTAATAGAAATTGTTTATCTTCACGTTCGAGAGATGATGTTTCAAGAAAATGGAGCACGTTCTATTAAGAATGTGTACACTGTTTAAATTTACAATAAATATTCTTCTAATCGAGAGACTGGACGCAGTAAATTTAAAGATTGTAAATATTGTAAACATCTTTATTTTTTTTTTTTTTTTTTTTTGATTTTCTTGAAATTTTATCAATTTCACGTGAATCGATGAAAGATATCGAGAAACATTTTGTTTGTTGATTTGTATTTTTTTTTTATTTATGATACTTATACGAAATGTTAATTGTAATAATTAAAACATTCTTTCGATATCATATCATTGAATTTTTAATTTCTATAAAATAAATAAGGACTTTATAATCGTTATATAAGAAAATATCAAAAAGAATAGATTTGTCCTTTTATTTATTATATTCAAATTTAATACTGTTTTAAGAACAATTTCCCATAAGAATTTTCAAGAATAAAATTAAACTTTATATTGTTTATTCTAGTCTTATTTAATTAAGAACACGAACAAAAATATTTTTTTACGCGTAATCTACATCTTGGATAGTTTAAACAAAATATATATTAATAGGATAATAATATTGGAATAAAAGAAGTAGAATAGATAATATTGAAACAATTATTTCTTCTGAAGAAATAAAAGTTGCTAAGACGTGACATTTTTTTTTTCAAACTCGATCGAAATTTTATTTTAACGACAAAAGAAAAAAGAAGAAGAAGATGTCACTAAAACAAGACAATCACTCTTTCGTTATATTCATCATTTTTTGTAATAAGTAAACATGGAGATTCACGAGAGGAGACGTGAAAAGAAATTTACGATTTCCTTAATTTTTCACGAAACGTTTATCTTCCAAACACTTCACGGAAAATAATTTAAAATTCTCGCTTTGAATAACGTAACTCGTGGATCCCTAGGGTGTCATTAGTCACGGTACGCTAATAATCACGGCCGCGATTCGATCAAACGTTATTTCGTGCCCTGAAGCATGACTCGAAATATGCTCGACTAGAATGGAAAATTATGTAAGCAAAAAATCCTGTTTCATAAGATACGCGATTTGCATATGCGTTACATTTGACTATTTTTTTTTCACGCGGTTCATACATCCGTATTATTTCTGAGCCAATTAAAAAAAAAAAAAAGTATCGAGAACAAATCGGCCGACAAAAGTTATTTTTGACAAGTGGACACGCCATTTTGAACTCGTGAAAGTTACGCACTCGTTATGCAGTCATACTTTCAAAGAATTTTACTATCGAATGTAATTCAATCGATCATGGATTTTCCACGTCGTTCATAAAAAAAAAAAAAAATAGAATAATAAAGTAACGAATGGAAAACGAAATATTGTACAATGAAAAAATTTTTCTAATTTTTCAGCACTGTCTTTGTTCAAACTACTGCAAATAAACAGTTAGTACTATAATTTGTTTCCGCGTGCTGTCAACGTAGCTTCGATTCGAAAGGGAATCGACAGACCAATAGGAGAACGCGTACAATCAGAATCCGTATTATTTCCACGATGGATAGATCGTATCCATCGTATGTAAATTCTCCTCGTGAAAGAGTAACGCGCGTACAACATATGCACGTGCAAATTCCTCTGCGAAATTATCATTTAAATTAATCGACGATTGAAAGAAACTGTCGATATTTTCCACGTGTCTTTCACCGGTTCATCCCAGACGATTTTTCTTCTTTTCCAAAGGGGGGAAAAAAAAAAAAAATAAATGAATTTTTATTGAATCTTACCTGACCGAGCCTGAGGTGACCAAGAATGGCATCGGTGTCGGGCACGGGCTCAATGGCGAACTGCTCACCGAGCTACGAGTGCTGCTCAACACCGAGTGTGGACATTGCGGAGGGCCGACGTGCCCGCCAGAGGATGCGCTCCCTTTGCTCGAGGAACGCCCTTTTAGACAAGGGATTTTCGACCAGCCACTAACGTTTTTCCCCGACAATCCTGCGAACGAATACGTATGTGTTGTTTATTATTACGTTATTACGCCTTCCACTTTAATGGAACGCGTTGTTAATTTCGTTTAAAATGTGTTCTTCGTGTATTCAGTGAGATTGAATCAAATTGGGGGAGTTGTGTATAGATTTTTGTTTCTAAAGTGGAACGAAGTAGTGATAGAAGAATTGTGATGGATGTAAATATAATTTGTTGTTGCATTAACGTATTGATTTTTGAAACATTTGCTTGCATCAATTTTCGATGGAACGTTCTATTGATATTGAACGAGTATTTAAATGATATAAATTATTGGAATTAATTAATTGATAGATTAAATGAAATTATGTTTCTTCGTACGTTCAGTAATTAGAAAACACGAAATATGAGATTGAATCAAATTGGGGGAGTTGTGTACAGATTTTTGTTCTAAAGTGGAACGAAGTAAGCGTGTTTAGTGATTAGGAGAATTGTGTTGGATGTAAATATAATTTTTGAAAATGTATTAATGAAACGTTATATATCATGTTGGTAAATAAGATGAAATTATTAATACTAGGAGTAATAATAATTATTAAAATTAATTAACATTTAAGTAACATTTGAAACAATATGATAATAAGCAAGCAATTGCGCAAACAGATTTTAATTAAATTTCCATTAAAATATCGTATTTAATTCAATTTCTCAGAATAATTTATTATTATTATTGCTAAACACCATTCTCTACAACCTTTAAAAACGAATTCTTGATACTCCTCTTTCGCTTATTCTTCCTTAAAATTATACCAATGAATATCAATTAATAAAATTTTATTTAATTATTAATCAATTTCTACTCTTTTATACCAATAATGCATACACTGAACAGAAAACTACTGTACTTTTTCCAATAATCCATTTTATTATTTAATTCCACTCTAAAAAAAAAAAGTAATTAGAATTCGTCCTCAAAAATTCGAATTATTATTCCGACTACGTAAATCATATTCGCGTAGAGAGAAAGAGAGAGAGAGAAATCGAACAAAAATCTCGCATAAAACATCGAAAATGCAAATTCGAATCACGACCTGCGTCACAAAGTATATAATCATCGCGTACACGTTCTATTTGCACGCTCTGGATAATTTCCACCAGTCCATAAATTATTCATAAAAAGTATATCGCGCCAATTTTACAATATCACTCGTGTTATGCTCGTTAATAAAAAAAAAAGAAAAAACCATCCGATTGCAAATTTTTTTCTCTACTTTTGACCCGAAGGTGGCGCACGTAACCTTGACCATAGAAGGTCGAAGGTTTCCGCCTGACATGAAATACAAAATGGTGGGGGGTGAACGATAGCTTTGGAGAGTGGGTTGCTCGCAGCGCCGCGAAAGCTGTACTTATCGCCAACAAAGGCCAAGCCTTTCGTGTAACCCAGATGCCGAGGATTCGAGCTTAAATGGCGGCTTGTTTCGTTCTTTCAACTCGACTGGAAAAATTTGAATAATTATTCGAATCGGGCGTAAATTATATATAATTTTCATTTGGTTATATTTGCTGGATATTTTATTGACGTGTCGTAATGGTAGTGTTTTTTTTTTTTTTAAATAAAAATGTGAGCGATATCGTAAAACTCGGTTCGAAAAAATTAATATTAAGAAAATTTTCTTATTACATTTTTTTTTTTTTTTTCAATTACATGTATAAGTAGATATTATTCCAATTGGAATTATATTCTTAAACTGGCATTACTTATGAGAGCTAATAGTACAACGACCTACATATGAGATTTGAGAGAAAGAGAGAAAGAAAATCCAGCCAGGCAAGATCATGGAAACTTTAAACGATAAACAAAAGTAAGACTCTCTGGAGCCTACGATCAGAGAATCAGATCCAACATTCGAATTTATCTTATAAATGAAGATTACATTCAGTTAACAAAATACTTTAATATTCGCATAGTGGATACTCTGATTTGTAGATTCCAAAAATTTAAAAATTCTATTCTTTCTTTTCAAATTTTTTCAAACGAGGAATCACTCTTCATTCTCGAATAACGAGATACCCTGTAAACTCGTTATTATTTTTTAAACTATATAAATATAAATTCGATACACATAGTTATTAGAATGTTCGTGCATTCATTTAAATTTAACATAAAAAATTACAAATGCAAAAGAACACAAAACAAATATTATATTAAAATTTCCATTTTTATATTTATGGTCGTAAAAATTTTTAAAATTTGTAACAATAAACATCGAATGTAATCATTGCATTATTATCTATATCTATATTAAAACGCACAAAATCCATTCGAGTTATGGTTTTCGATCCTTCGTAAGAAGCTTCAAAAAAGGGGGGAAGAGAACGATGGAAAATAAGTCGATAATATCGGTGCACAATAAAGGTCGAGCAGATACGTTTAAACTTACGTGCATTGAAAAACTGCTCGGCGAAATTCTCGTTTCACGATACAAACAAAACCAAGGCGTATCGATCTACCGTCGTTTTTCCTCGCTCAACCTTCTATATCTCAATAAGTTCGTTTTATTACGGAATTGGCAACTGCGATTGGATCTATCTCGGATCAACCTCGGTTCAGTTGAATACTACAATGCTTGCTTATTATTCTCTTTCGACGAATCTTGTAAAATGGAACTTTAATTCTTACTTTTCGAGTGGGTATTGGAAAAGATTTCTAGATAGAGATAGATATTTCGTCGAATTCGATTTCAGCATTGCGTTTGAATTAAAATTCTCGTGTTTAGTATTGTAATCTGTTTCTTTTCATTTTCAATTCACGATAGATGTGATAATTTATTTCAACACAGAATGATTAGCGGAGCTTGGAAAATAGATTTTTGAAATAAATGAAATAAATATATCTATTTCTTTCTTTCTTTTTGTTTTTAAATAGCATTTATATAAATAAATGGTATTATAAATATATATTTATGCAAATATATAGATGCTATTCTGAAGTGAATATATCTTGGACAGGTAGTAGATTGCTTTCCGTAAAATGTTATATAATTGAAATAATTTAGAAAGTTTATTTTGAATTTTAAAAATTTTAAATGTAACATTAAATAAATTCTTTTACAGATTTTCATAAAATATGTTTCCCTTTGAAAAATATTTTTTCACGCAAGTGTAAAATTTAAAGAGTGATTGTAAAAATTAAGACAAACAAAAAAAAAAAATTATCATTGAAACTTATTCTTTGGTCAACTTAATCTTGCAACTTGACCAGATAAAAGCAAGAGCCAATGCAATGATAGAGATAATTCTCTAACGTTGAAAAACATATAACATATTTAACATTTATCATCATTTTCATAAAAATTCCAATAACTAAAAATGATTATTCCTATATAACTATAAATAAATAAATAAATTATAAAAAATTGTAATTATCATAGTTATTAATTGTCGAATTAATTACATCTTGTGATCGTCCATCTATCTATCTATCAGTTTCAATTATTTTATCTATTAATGATTATTCAATGATTGGTTAACAGTTATTGAATAATCGAATACTAAACTCGTGTCTTTAATTACAATCATTAATCATTAATCATATCTTGTTGAATGATTTATAGATGCATTATCAGAAAAATTCTCATAAAAATTTCTTAATAAAAAGCGATCAGGTGTTTAACCGCTTATGCATTAAAAGCAAACCTGACCTACTTCCATCGGTTCTCTTGTATTAATCGTCTTTTCTTCGCCTCTTCCTTTCCTGCATCGCGGTTTCTTGCCTTTTGCGAGAAGCTTCAGAATGAAAATTTTTTAATTCGCACGTTAATATTTACATAATTATGCAAATGTGAAGGAGAATAAATAATTTTGCGAGCTTAGAAATTTAAATTAGAAAATTTAAAATTAGCATAAGTATAAAGAAAAATTTATTAATTTTTACTTTTTTTTTTTAGTTTAAAATGCGTTTATACAGTAAAAAAGAATATTCTTTTGCATTTGATCTCTAGAATCGACAAATTATTCCACGAATACGATACATTTTACGTATTTTTTGTTAGCGAATAAATAAGACACAACGTAACATTATAAAACATATGTTTTGCTTTTCACATCGATATATAATCTTCAAACAAGTTCAAATAAATTAATTGAAGTTAAAATAAACAGCCTAACAAGCTAACAAGTAGAAAATTTAAATTTTATGTATAATTAAATTTTATATTGAGAGTAAAAGTTTATATATGATAATGAATATGCAATTTTTGACACGGATCTATTAATCCTTCATTTAAAAATCCTTTCTTAAAGAATATCCAACTGTTGAAATTCCGTTGTTTTCTAATCCTCTTCCAGATCTGATGCATACGAATGACACAATGTCGTTATAGCGATCGCCTATGTTTCTTTCCTTGTTTTTCAATTGAAAACAATGAAGGAATTGCGTGGCGAAAAGTCTTCAACTGGTCTTAAGCATGATTAATCATCCGAGCGAGTAGAGGGAAAAAATTTAACGATTGAACATTTAACGACAACGTTCAATTCTACGCAATTGAATATATTCATTGACGAGCTATCATCACGAGGGAGAATTTTATGAAAACAATATTATTATTTGTCCACTTTTTAGATAGATAAAAAAAACCTCCATTTTAAATTAAGTGGTGTCGACGTTGGTTTTCTACTGGTTCAGGAAGGAGCTATAAACAGGCGCGAGCCTAATTTCAGCTTTGCGTTCTCGGCCTCCCACGTAGTTAAAAGTTAAAAGCGTTGGCCTCCAGTAATGCCTCTTACAAAGAATACGGTCTGAAAGGACATTCAATTATATTCCAATGTTTTTAATTTTACAACGTTTACTCCAGCCACGAAGGAATTTCATAAAATCATAGAGAAGCTTAAACTTAGAAGTTAAAACTGTTAAATTGATGCTATTTATTAAAATAAAAAAAAAAAGAAAAAAGGAAAAAATCACTTGGCAATTCGTGATGCAATTTTATGAGATATTTTTAATTTTTATGATCATCGTGGTTCTTATGGAT